AATATTGAAAAGACATAAGTACTTTTCCAGACTTCAAAGATTTCCCTAAGATTGCAAGTTTTATTAGAAAGAAATTTCAGTGGGACAGATCTCCTCTGTCAGATCGTCTCGGGATCTTAGGTGAAAGTTAGCTGGGCTTGCCAATTCAGCGTTTGTTCAGCAGCTGTTATTTGACATTCTCTTTGATTACTGAGCAACTAGAAGTTATTTTATCACCTTCATGTGGTACAAGTATATCATCCTGCTTTCTAGATGTAGAGCAGAAATATTCAATATTTCTGTCTTTTCTGCATCATTATTACCAATTGTTCCATCTCTGTGTAGTATTGGTTTTATGTTGCTAGGATTAGTTCTCACCTTACTTATCCCTGTCTGCCATAGATATCTCCCTTGTAACTTTGTTATTCCTTATCAATTTTCTAACCTTCCTAATTCCTGGTTTAGTGCAACTGCTTTCTATTCCCATGTTTCTCTGGTCCTTATGTATTACTAGCAAATTACCCATCAAAAATGGCGGGGGAGGGTGGCGGGGACAGAGCCTAGCATTCGGCTCTGCATCTCCAGCCCTGCACCCTTCAGGGCCGCCCCTGTCCCCCCTGGCAGTTTGGGTTTGGCGCCAGGGCTGCTTCCCCTCCCCACCATGAGCCTAACTGCATTGCTGCCCTGCCTCCACTTCGGGGCTGGGTCCACTTCCCACACTCTCACCCCCACCACTTTGACAGTTCCCCCTGCTCTGGGGCGGGGCCTGCATCCATACCCCCCTGCCCACTGCTTTGGGCTCGGACCTGTTCCCCACCTCCTGCAGCTTTGGTTCCGGGTGTGTTCACCCCCCCGTGGCTGCCACTGCCGCTGTGCCCATGCTACTGCTGTCCTGTGTCTGCGGGCCTGGCGGTGGGTGTGGGCCTGGTGGCGGTGGTGGGCCCAGGGTGGCAGCCACAGTGTGGTGGCTGTGGCTACTAGTAACCACCCCCTCCCCTCCCCTTCCCCCCTCCTCCCCTCCTTGCTGGCTCTTGTTGTGGGGTGGAGGGGTGATCCATCCCCTGGCTCCAAGGAGCATATTGTGGGGGATGAGGCCAGTGCTGCTGGCCTTGCCCCCTGGCTCCGTCCCCTCTGTTATGGTGGGGCTCTGGTCCCTGCCATCCCCCTCTGCTCCAAGGTCTGTGGCCTGCAGCCCCACAAAAGCTCCGGCCCCTCAGTCCCCACTGTCATGGCAATGCTTCGCCGTCTGTCCTGTCCATCTAGAGCACTCTGATTGGCTACTGAAACAGCCAGTCAGAGTGCAAATAAAGTGTTATAGACAGACAGACAGGCTACAGGTTTTATAATCTTCGAATTTTTCCTGTATCTAGTTGCTATCTTCATTTTGCCACTGCTTCTTAGCTATTGTGAAATCATGGCTGCTTTGGCCATCATATAATATCTTAAAGAAATCCCACCTGCAATTCACTTGTTTTGGCCAAGAAAATAAAATCTATCATCTTTCACACTCTTTAAATAAAAAAAATTCTGGTTAACAAATCAAATACCAGTTTCCTGTCTATAAATGCAATTTAGTTGTTTTTTACACCATGAGTTTTATCAGCTGGTTCATGGAACTGATTTTCTATTTTAAACTTAATTTTGTCATCCTGTACTCACTGACTCATGGTCTCTCCTGTGAAATTTACAATAAGTAGTAATAAAAATTAGTGGCAACATTGCAATTTTTCTGCCTATTTTGAAGATCACAAGTTTTAGACTCCCTACTCTGCCTTCCCCTTTCCCCCCATAAAAGGATTAACACTCCACAACTCTAAATGTAAACTTTTTGCTATTTTTTTTACTATATAACTATAAAAGAAAAAAAGGAAAAATGTATCTAATAAAGTGGACTTTCAAAGCAGAGACCTAGTGTACTTGGTCAGATAATTTCATGTTTTGTCACAGGACCGGTTGAAATATCAAGTCTGGTAAGATCAGACTCTCTGGATCTTCAGGTCAGTTAATTTTCCCATTTTCCTGCAGGGAGAGAACTCAAAAGTATTACTCATTCACTAGCAAATTTTGGCAATAGGAAAAAATTTAATCAAGGGTTCCAGTGATTTATCTTTTGTTATGAGCTTCAGAAATGGCAAATATTTGCTTACTAGGCCTGTGCAAAGCAGCTAGTATTCGCTTTGGATTTGCCCCATTCGGGGGACAGTGATTTGATTCAGTGATTTGAATCGCTGTCCCAAATTGATTTGGTCGAATCTGATTCGGTGACTCAAACAGGTCCCATCCCGCCTGCTCTCTCAACCACGTCAATGGCTGTCCTGCCCAGCACTTTAAAAAAAACAAACAAAAAACCCCCCCAAAAACCTGCACTCACTGGCTCCTGCTGAGGGTGGGACATCTCTGCTGCCCTCCGCTGCCCTGCACTGTGTGGGGGGGCTCTGCCACGAGCCCCCACCACCCACCCACTCTCCCAGCCCCATCAATGACTGCCTCGCCTGGCCTCAGCATCCTGGCTCCTTTGGGGGTTTTTTGTTTTTTTTAAAGTGCCCTGCACTCTCCAGCTGTTCCCAGGTTGGAGGGGAATCTGCCTCTGGCCACAGGAGCAGCTGGTGAATGTGGGGCTTTTTTTTAAAGTGCCAGGATGCTGGGGCTGGGTGGGGCAGCCATTGACGGGGCTGGAAGAGTGGGCCAGGGTAGGGGCTTGTGGCAGAGGCCCCCACACAGCAGCACGGGGCAGTGGGGGACAGCGGGGATTCCCACCCCCTGACAGGAGCTGGTGAATGCAAGGCTTTTATTTATTTTTTTGAAGAGCCAGGGCACTGGGGCTGGGCAGGGCAGCCATTGATGGGGCTGGAAGAGTGGGCAAGAGTCGGGGGGCTTAGGAGGGCTGGGGGAGGAGGCAGGGGATGGGGCCTGGCAGGGGTTCCCCCCCATGGTCCCTTCCCCCCCTCCTCCATCCCCTACTTACTGGCACGGAGTCTGGGTCCAGCTCCCTGCAGTGGCAAGCGGGGACTGCCCGAATCTTTCTCACAATCTTTTCTGAATCAGTTCGGACCTTTTTATTGGTCTCCTGATTTGATTCGGAGATTTGGCTGACGAATCGGGCCAAAGCTCTGAATTGAATTAGCACCTGAAGCTTCGCAGGGCCCTATTGCATACCTCTTCCCCCTATTCTCCTGGATCTGCCATAGCACCTGTCCCTCTGGACCTTCTGAAAGGCTTAGAAAAGAAACTGCTCCCATGATTGGATTATAGAATGATCCGCTGATTTCTTTTCTCTGTGCCGACTCTATTTGCTTGCAAGTCTCAGAAGTCGTCTTTATTTTACCGTCTTGCTGCCAGTGAATTGCTGTCTTTCATCTTTCAGATTCTTCTGAGGACTAAGCCTCCAGTGAGCCTATTTATGCTTGCCATAGACTTTTCAGTGCCCTTAAAAAGCTTGTGAGGCCAGGGAAATTCTGTTACTGAGATTGACATCTGTGCTACATGGACTTATTAAAGCTGTTAAGAAAAAAATGCTTAAACTTTCAGGAAGTTTTCTTTAGGCTGTCTTGCAAAGTACTAAATGAAGGGAGGTTGGTGTATATATAGGGGATTGTAGTTAAGATGGCTTGGATTTTAATTGTAAACTTGAATTTCAATTGCAAATATGTATTCCAGTTCTTTTAAACAAGGCTTGCATTTTGTATTTCTACAATTAGTGTTTTTAAGAGATGTAATGGTACTGTAAGCCTAGCTTCTTGGGAAAGCTTAATTTGCTCAAACTTCACTGTATTGTATTGTAAGCAGTTTTGTGGAAGGAAGTGTGTTGACCTGAAAATGTAGGGACATTTCTCAGATTCAGTTCTACTTTTTGTCCAAGGAACTCTATCAAAGTGTCTCGGTACACTCTTAGAAAATAGTAGGGGAAAAAGGTTTTCCCTGTATGATACTTTATGAATAGGATGCTTACAATTGAGACAATATTCTTTTATGGTCTAAGATTAAAAAGGAAAAGCAAGTTTGGAGTCAGATGGTTTGTGGAACAAAAAGAGGCACAAATCTTCTGTAACAGAGGCCAGGCACAGTTGCAGCAAATGTGGGTCCTGGCATCTGTTTTCATTGATTTTTCTGCTCTAGTTGTGCCAGTTGTGACCACAGCTAGTACATGTCAGTTAAGTCTAATACAGCTTTTTATTAGGCCTCAAAGCAGCAGCAGAAATCAACATTTTTATACTTTTTAATTTTAAATAACCAAGTAACGTGTATTCTCCCAGAATAATGCTTGACTTGTTTATCATTCTATAAAACCCGATACTGTAAGATACCAAAGCATTGAGAGCTAGTTCAAAATCTGAGTTGCAGATAATTTCTCCCAATAAAAGGCAAGAGGTGGAGGTAATAAAATGCTGTTGTTAGGTATCTTCAAGGAGAGAGAGTGAACCATTAAAATGAGGTAAATATCCAGATTGTTTTCATTCACTCCATTAGCTTCATAGTGTTGCAGCCTATGCAGAACACAGTTCAGAAAACTAACCATTAGTACAATATGTTATAGCTTTATTAGACTTTTTCCCTTTCACAGGTTCTTGAATTTGTTAAATAGTAGTTCAGTTAAATTTTTTTCTCAGTTATGTTGAATATAAATTGATTACTATTTTAAAGCATCCATCTCACACTATAAGGTTCCCTTAGAAGCTAAAAAACTATATGTAGATCACAAAGTAGAAGTCCTTGCTAACACATTGCACAGTGATCATATTCCAAAATATGGAAAACAACTTGAGCTTCTTATAGTACATGCTGTAAGTATGGTAAGAAAACAGGATTGTTTCAACACTTTTATAAAAAAAGTTTAGGTACATTTTTGGTGAAAAGGTGCCCATAAACACAATATCGTTGGGGGAATAAGAATGGTAAAAAGGGGATTATTCTAATGATTTCAAATTTGTAAAATATATATAGATTATAATGAGGGATTTAAAATTCAGACCTTGCAATAAAGAGGAGAGCGTTATATTTCTTATTTCTATATGTCTCTGGACTGGAAGAGAACTGAGAACTGTCTGAAGAAAAAACTTAACTTGTTGGGTAATAATATGGTAGGTTCCAGATTCTATGGGAGAAAGTAGGAAACATGCTTTGTGTGTTTTTGTCAACATAACTTGAAACTGTTGGGATTTCATCTTTGTCCGATTTGTTAGAGCTGTTGCTAGATGCGGTAATGTGTACAGAACAATTTGTATTCCATACATCTACCAGTTGCCCTTGTTGGTTTTCTCTCTCAGTAGCAGTTAGAAAATCTTTTAGAACTTGCTTGAATATGTAGACTATTTCCCATGGCAAGACATCATTTTCTGCCAAAACTTCACGAAATCTAGAAACAAATGAGAATTGAAATCTGATTTCAGTGCTTGACTCTTCTATAAAGGTATTCCTGCTCTTGTTTCATAACCTGTGTTACAGTTGCATTTGCTCTTCCCATATAAGAGAGAAAGAAAAGCTCTTACAATGCATTTGGTTGCAAGGCAAATGTTAAGAAGGGTAGAAGTTATTTTTTTTGTGTTGAGCCATTTGGCTAAATTGATTTTAAGCTGACTTTTGCCCTCAGGTATTTCTGGGCTTAAAAAGGAACATAAGTTTGCTTTTGTGTTTTCTACATAGTGCTACAAACCATATATAATTACATAAAATATATAAATTGGGGAAGGGTTTATGAAATTCTCTTTCAACAAGGAAAAAAGTTGATTTAAAACACCCTTCAGTTACACGAGCTAACTTTGAGAAACTTAATTTCAGTCTCTACAAATTCTGAGAAGCCTGACTTTGTTTATACAGTATTACATTGTTAATAATCCTGTAGTCATCAGGTAAATGAGAGGAAACCTGATAACGTTTAGGTACGGAAGTCTAAGAATTATAGATGCCTCTTGTTTTTTTTTGTTTCATCTCAAAACAGAGGTAGAAGCTGTTTTCAGTATTTCACATTATGAAATTTCAGGCTATTTCTAGAAGAGCTGTAGGACACTGTAAAGCTCTCCATTAAAATGCCCAGTTTGTTTGGTTTTTGGGGCGGGAGGGGGAGGTTGGAATCACAGCCAGACTTAATTAACTCTGGAGAAGAATAAGGGGGAAATTATTTTTTGCTATTAAGTGAAAATTACAGTAATTGGAAAGAGAAATTACCTGCTGAGGACAGTTCCAGTTTGACAAGGTTGAATTTGGGAGCAAAGAGCTTCAAGCTGCCTTTGTTCAGTAGCTGGGATTGTAGCTTGAGGATTTTGATAGTTCTTCAGCCAGTTGTAATCCACGCTGGTTTTCTGGACTCTTTGTTCATTTTCAATTTCTTGCACTAATCTTTCACGCTCTTTCAGGTGCCATTTCAATTCCCTCAGCAGGGTCTTTGTCACTACTTCAGAGCCAGGGTATTGTGTGGGTTTGTAGGAATAGTTTTTGGGCCATTTCATCCAGCCAAAAAGTGGCATTTTTAAGCTATGAAGAACCATAATGTTTAATCATCTCATAAACTGTAATGTTTATATAAACATGTTGACTATTTAAGATATGAATGGAAAATCCAGAAAGTATTCAACACATTTATGATATAGTTGTGCACATGTTCTGTGGTAAAATATTTTGCTGTGCAACTTAATTCTCTAGTTCAAAATCAGATCTGACATGCTCTTAACGTTTTATAAAGATTGAAAGCCTGTTGTGGCATTTAATGTTTGCATTTTATTGGATTAATTAAATCATACAAAATTATAATAGTATTTGAAAATATGTTGTTAGAGTAGAAAATATAATTTGATAAATTGCTATGCTGAAATGCTGTAAGTATGCAACTAGCAAAATAAACTTTCCCATTTAAAAAAAATCTCTAACAAGTAAACTATAGTTGATCAGTTTTTAGAGATAGTGAATTTCTACATATTCTAGTCTTCAAAATTCTTATCCTGTTAGTCTTTAATAGAAAATTACTCATTAGCCTCTGGAAAAACAGCATAGAAATCTAATGGAACTAGACTCCAAATTACAGATTTTTTTTGTGTGTGTATTTTATAATTATATTTACTATGAAACAATATACAAATTTAACTGAAATAACATCATACTGTACCTTTGTACTTGTCTATGTTGTAAATGAGTTTTCTTGAGTTGCAGGTTGTTTATTCAAGCATATCTTGTTTCCAGGCTGTTGTCACTGCTAAAAAAAGATGTTTTCTTCATTTACCTGCTGAAACTTTTACTTAGAAGAATAACTTTCTGAACTGAGGAGAGGATTTTGAATTCTTTTGTTTCTAAGGTCATTTAATATTGTAGCATAAAGAAATCCTTTTAACCCAAGATGTATTCCCAAGTACTTTCCATGAAGTCCATTATGGTCTCCTACCTTTTGAATTGAGTTCCGCCTATAGCAGCAATTAAAAAAAAAAAGATGGTAACAATTTCAGATGTTTATTGCTAAATCCATCCAAAGATATTGGTAGTGAGATGAATAATGATAGTCTGAAGCAGCTACAGATGTGCTCCTAGCTAAAGTTAAGACTGTCGCATGATGTGATGCTTGGCTGTGCATAGCTGTAGGTCACAGTTTAGTGCTGTATTTTTATGCCTGTAGAGCTCTAAAAATAACTATGTTGCTTTTATTGTCTAACTAAACTTTCAGGCTATTTAAGATGCTAGAAGATTTTTCCTGTTGTTTGAGTGGGGGGAAATAGATCAGGCTTTTCTGTGTTAATTTTAAGTAGGTTACAATAATCCTTTTCTAGTGAGAGATTTTGTTAAGGTTCATTTTAGCAAAGGAGCAACAATAATGAGCTATTAATAAGGCTGTTGAGTGAAATTTGTGGCTATGTTAAATGCTTTTCTTCCTAATGAAGATCATCCCTCTCATAGCATTAATTTGTTTCATTATAGTTCATAGCTGTTAGCATTTTTAATTGATATTTAATCTCATTTATTAAATGAGATTAAAGAAACAACTTTGCAATGCCTACAGGATGTCATGAAAAAGTATTAATCTAATTAAAGGAATGGAAGAATAGGATAAATAATAACAAAATAAAGTCAAACTGGTTTAAAAAAATAATTTTAAGTCTTACCATAGACTACTTTTCTCTCAACTTGAATGTAAAATCCTTGCTGATTTATTTTGGGGATATCCACTTTAAGATTCATTTTCGGGGATAGCATGGTACATACTAAAGGTCGCTGTAGCAGCCATTTTCCATTCCAGTTATCTGGTTTCTTCCTATTAATCTAAAGAGCAGGCATGATATATAAAATGCCTTCTGTTCAGCTCTCTGCTGTTTAAGTGACTATCCTTTCTCCTTTATGGATTGTTCTTTCCTACTTTTTGTCTCCACTGTTAGGTTGAACTGTTGGGAGAACAGGGGTTGTGTAAACTGTTTTAGATGTCATGCAACATAAAGGATGACGTGAATGGCTGTTATTAAAGCTGATATTACTTATACATTGGAAAAATTCAGATGTCAGTATTAATCACCTTCAAGTGGAAGGTTTTCACAATGCATTTTACATGGTACTATAAAAAAGGAAAGGAGCTGGGCTTATAAAGACAGAACTGTCCTCACAAATTTTCAGATGAAATTAAAATGTTTCTTGCCACTTCTTTTCCAAGACAGTTAGAGTATTGCATCAGAAAGTAAACTGATGTACAATATATGGATAATTTAATGCCTTTTAAAAAGCAAGAAGGTACATAGTGGAAGGTACATCAATTTAAAAACATAATGAGCAGTCATGAAAAGATTATATCTATAGTTGCTTGGTTGCATTACTTTTAAGGCAGTGGTTCTCAACCGTGTTAGAGGCACCCTTGGAAAATGCTAGCTTTTAAGTTTTACTTGTCTGACTATGGAAAAATACAACTAGAGCAGTTTTTCTTTTGCACAGAACTCAGACCAAAACAGGTCAGAATGTTTTTAACACTATGGATTTCTGTTTGAAATCTCTGGGTTTATCTTGTGAATCATGTTTGCATACCTAACAGTGCTAACACTGCACGACACCCTGTGACACTCTTCAAAGGATCTCAAGGCACCCCAAGGTGCCACTGCACCATAGTTGAGCATCACTGACTCAGACCATTAAAATATTAAGTAATTTTATATTAATGTGAAACTACAGGTACTTTTTTTTACTTTCATAAGCAGATCCTTTACATTTATTTTGAGTTACTGTTTGCTTCAGTGCTATCCTCCAGGAAGTTATACAATAAAACTTCATGGGGTGCAAAGCCTTTTCTCCTTAACATTAGTTTTGCCTTTTAATTTTGAGGGCTGCCTCTGATTCTTCTGTTGGAAATAGGTGGTTTGATTGCCTTCTCTGATCATCAACCTCTAGCATAAGAAAGAGTCTTGTAGATTTGTTGAAATCATATTTTAATATGATTTTGCCACTTAGGCTCTTTCCTTGCTTTAAGAAATAGACTCATGTATATAAAAAGTACCCTTAGTATTTGGAGGGTGGAAGTTGCTAGCTCATAACCTATAATTTTGACTGTTTTTGTTGTCTTGTTTTGAATTTTTTTCAGTCACTTTTTAATAATGAGCAGGGATCCTGGTTTTCTCTGATTTAAAATTTTTTATACATTTCCCCCCCCCC